GATCAAGTTCATTCTCCAGTTCTTCTATCCGCACTTGAGGGTCTATTGAATGCACATAATCAGATCCATTGGACTGCTTATTCCCCTTAAGTGCAGAGTTATCTGAACTCTGCTTGGACTGCGGGCTGTTGACCCACAGAAGCTAGTCACTTCTGAAATGATTTGGCCATGTATATTGAGTGCATGGAGACCAGATTATCATTGTTACATTGGTTACAGGTGTTTGTATGCCTTGTAACATTTCCCTCTCTCTGCAGCACAGGCAGCAAGGTGTTGCCAATGTGTATGGTGTAATTTCCAAAGTCGAGCACCATCTTCATTTGATGCATGAAAGGTAGTCCAAGAACCATGTTGTATTTAGGTATATGCACAATATTGTAGTATACCCTGTGGTTATTCCCTGCAATAATAAATGAGGTTTCCATGCCAAAGTTTGCCTTTGAGTGACTGCTCACACACTCCAATTGCAGGAAAATGGGGTTGCTGAGAGGAAACAGCACTATTCCAGCAACGCAGGTGTATTCTGAACTCATCGCATTAATGGTGCTTCTGGTGTCTAGGAGAACCTTCACTTTTAGACCGTGAATGGTGGCCCATATGGCCATCAAGAAACCACGAGCCAGTGGTCTCTCTTTGGCTGTGCCCTGCGATCGTATCGCTACATGGCCAGCAGGTTAAAATTCAACCATAAGCAAATGATCCCCAGAAGTGGACGGTTCATCCACTACGGGGTTCTCTGCTGGATTGACATACTCTAGATTGTTGTCATTGAGGCGGTCAACATGGTTTCTTCCATAGCCCAATATGTTTGCATTAATCACACCCTGATTGTTGTCAAATAATGCAGGGATGTAAGTAATTGTGGTCATCATAGATAAAGTATTCCTTGGCCGCAGTATGTAATGGGCATAGTCTTGCTCTGCCAGGTCACGTTCTGCAGCGTGCTCAAACACTTCATTAATTACAGAGCATGTAACATCTTGGCTTGCAGCTCTTTGCAGCAAGTGAAAGTTGTGTCGCAGATTTTGAAGCTGATTTTGCAGTAGCACCATCTTGCTCTGGACATGTCAAAGACTGCCCTGAGCACATTATAGTCAAAGGCCCGCATTGTGCATACATGTCACAGGCTGTTCCTGCACTATTTGTGAGTTGTCAGGCATCAAAGACAGACCCTTCCTTCAGTCGACCTCACCATTACCCATTGTCAGTTGCTTCATCAACCTTTCTTGACAGTAGATAGACTGTCTCCCAGGGGCGCACTGCACAGAAGAGCAGTCCCTTGTACTCCGCTGGACCCTGTGTCACATCTGTTGCTTGTTGCAGACTCCTATAAAGGGTCGAGTTGTTGAGCAGCATGTTGCAGATACTTCATCTGGTTTAAAACCAGGTTTTGTATTCTCTGCTAGCGCGTATCCCACTCCTTTTCTTCTTGTTCTTATTTGGCTTGTTGTTGTCACCTTGCTGACATATCACTGTCATGGGCAGTCGCAAGTTCTATGCCAATTTGCCTGAGTTCGGCATACATCTTGTCAATTTCACCCATTACTCAGGCTGCTAAGGGTATATCATTCCTCGTGTTCTCTTCTTCTCTAGTTGAGTTGTTACTGATGTCTTCTGGGGCTTCTAGGTAGAACGAAGCCCCTATGCGCGCACTAAGGAACGTGTTGGCCTCGCCTTCTGATTGCTTGGTCAGCCGGTTCAGCTGGCTCTGATCTGTGTGTGACTCTTCTTGTTCTTTATGGAAGTGGTCACAGTTGTTATTTGCAGTCCATTGAGGGTTCCTTCCGCTCTTCTCTTCCTTCACCATGGTGTCTCCCGCAGTTCTGGGTCAAGCAGAGCTGGGCGTTGAAGTCAATGTTCTAATTTGGGAAGACTCTGATGCGCTAGATGAATTGCCAGGTGGTCTGTCATTTGATGAGTGGGCTGATGGCAGTTGTTAGTGCTTCTTTTGGTCTCAGGGTCTTGGTGATTGCTTCCAAGCACTGTTGGTGTGCCGGTCATCAAGCTTTGTGGTGTTGATGCGGCACCAAAAAGGTTTGCATTAGCTTGCAAGCCTTCTGAAGCTGCCCAACAAAGGTTTCTTCAGGGTCTTCCATTTATAGTGGATCTCCAGTAGGATAGGTCATAATTTTACAAAGTGACTGCAGTTTTCTCCCGCAATCCTGTAGTGTAAGAGTCAAATAAGTCTTTAGAAAATTCAAAAAAGTGTAAGGTTGTTGTGGGAGGTGTCTTCTCACTTGCACTGTGAATTTGAACTGACTTTATTCAAGTCCTAGATATATGGTGTACATGTGAGAGTGATAGGAAAAATCTACCTAGGCCGATGCCTCAAGCTTTATAAGCTCAAGAGCTTGAAACGCTTATCTAATAAAATGAGCAGCTAAACAGTGCACTGGCATGTAATCGGGATGCCATCGGAACTGTGCCTCCTCGGTGATCCAAGGTGGGCCTACTCAAGCACCATTCTTATAGTTAACCTTACTTGTCAAGGTATCCAAGTCAGCAGAAAGGAAGATCTTATTCTTAAACACTGCCAGAGGCTCAATTAGAGCTAAGCTACATAAAATAAACTCTGTAGAGTTTTCACTGCATATTAATGAGGGTACTAAAATTCATGAGCTGTGTAGCTATATGCTTGGACCATTAGAGGACTTCTGGCACAAGGAATATATATGCACATTATGTGGAACCAGCCAGATAATTGGTAGAAACAAGAATATGACCTATTCTGACTTGCTCCTTGTATGTTCCTCATACAAATGGCAGAGGCAAGATATCATGAGTGGACTTGTTGATAGGAGAACTTTACTAGAGTGGTTACATGCCAACATAAGACAAATAGCCAATGCAACATGCAGTAGCTGTAGTATCAAGCTAGTGAAGAAGGTAATCACAGATAATATGCCTTAACTCCTTAAGGTCAAAGTTAATGAAGTTACTGTCAAGTAGACTCCTATACTGGACTTGAACAGGTGCAGATACAGGCTATGTAGATTTATTTATTATGGCAATGAGCACTTTACAGCAGAGATGGTTAGTGCTGATGACCAAGTATATTATAATGATAGGTTGAAGTATGATAGTATATATTACTTAGAATTTCAGCTTTGTAATATGACACCAGCCGAACTTGCCAATAGTTCAGATGTTGTAAATAAACAATATAATAGTCTGTAAGTTTTTGTTATTATTTATGTGATAGGCATATTATTCATAAGATTCACATAATAAAATGATGATGGATTGCTGTCAACATATTTTGCAAAGTGATAAAGTGATAAATACTGCATATAGCTCTAAGCTTCATATAAATGGTAAACTATTATAATATTTGAGTTATTATTATTTATGATGCAGTATAAAAAAATGACGAAATTATACCCACTGAGTATATATGCTATGGCCCACATAACTCTAGTATATATATATCACCACGATAGAGTGTAGCATAAAGACATCTTTCAAAGATTAAGGTATAGGCTTGTTGTTTCATTTCTACCACTATTCAAGTATAGATTTACAAGTTTACTAGCTTTAAACTGTTTGCTTAGTCAAACAGTGCAAGGTGTATCAAATTATACCTGGTGCCT